ACGTTTTTGCACAAGTTTGCTATGATTCAAAACGGCGTAGCTCCTCATCTAGAACAGTTGAGCCTTTAGAACTTTCCCAATTTATAGAAGACAGTTGTGTCTAGAAAATGAAGGCATTTTATGCAAATTGGAGAAAATCCTGATTTTTTACAAGTTGGTAAATATTGGTCCTAAAATAGACGTTTTTGCGTAACTGCCACTGTATGTTTAAAGAAATCCTCATTTTTAACTTAGAGCCGACAGTGACTTGAAACTTTGGTCGTTGAAAGCAGAAACTTGATGCTTGAAAACCCAAATTTTGCATTCATATCGCTTTAAATTCTGATTTATACCGACTTGGTAAATATTGTTAAATATTGGTTGGTAAAAAAACGGGCATTTACGCCCAAGTCGCTTGAAAACTTCCTAACTGCAAATCTGAATAGTATTTGAACTTCGAACTTTTAGCGTCCGTCGACGACACTTTAATCTGAAAAAGTGGCAAATTTCATTCAAATCGGACCAAATTTTAATTTTTCCTACTCGATTAATGTAGCAGGCTCAAACTGGGCGTCGTTGCACCAAATCTCTATGCTTCAAAATTTCTGACTCCTAATTGATAGCGGGTCACGACTTGAAAATTCGACAGTCTATAGAACACATATGAATCGAAGAAACTTGAAAACTTTATTTTAATAGCACTAAATCCTGATTTTCAGCGTTTTGGTAAATCTGGTCCAAAATGGACGTTTTTGCACAAGCGCCCCTCAACGTTTGAAAAATTCCTAATTAGAAAACATTCGAATCTAGATAATCGGAATATTTGATTAAAATTGCCGAATTGCGAAATTAAATTGCAAATCCTGATTTTTGCCGACCGTGCAAATGTTGCTGCAAAAATTAACGTTTTTGCCCAAGTGCAATCAATGCTTCAAAAATTCCTAACTCCTAATCTGGAACTGATATCAACTTGAAACTTTTCGAATCCGCAGAACGTACTTCACACTGAAAATGTGAAGAATTTCATTTAAATCGCAGAAAATTTTAAGGTTTGCCTCCTTGCTAAAGGTGCATGTAAAGTGGGAACTTTTGCGTAAATGCTTCCTCTTCTTGAAAAATTCCTCACTTCTAATCTACCGCACGTGACGACGTGAAGCTTCAACAGTTTAGCGAAGACATTTTAATCTAGAAATTGTGAGAAGTTCGTTCTAATGGCACTAAATGCTGATTTTTGCCGATTTCATGAAAGTTGCTCAAAAAATGGGCGCTTTTGCACAAATGCTCGAACACATCCCAACACCTAAGTTAGATCTGGTAGCAAGTTGTGAAAAAATAGGGATTACGGAGGATGTAAATAACAGGCGAATGTTATCCGCAAGAGTTGAACAATAGGTGTAAATTTTTTACAAACTTCTTTTTGGGTATTTTGCCTCAAAAATTTTTGTCTTTAAAAAAGACAGAATTTCCCCACGTCTTTTGTTACAGATTGATAAATAGTGCTCCTATTTTGCAATAAGAACGAATTATTTATCAAAATTATTTATTTTGATAAAAATATATGAATGCAAAATATGATATGAATGCAAAATTTGGGTTTTCAAGCATCAAGTCTCTGCTTTCAACTACCAAAGTTTCAAGTCACAGTCGGCTCTAAGTTAAAAATGAGGATTTCTTTAAACATACAGTGGCAGTTACGCAAAAACGTCTATTTTAGGACCAATATTTACCAACTTGTAAA